TCAGAGTAATTGTGATGTTTCAGCTCCACAAATTTTATCCAGACCGGTAGGTCTGTGATGCAAGTGTAGAATATGCTTGGGACATGTTATCTAAGAGAACAGAAGAATCTAGCAAAATTAATGTTTGAACAAGCAAAGATTTGTGAATAGCCTTCTTGGTGCTCAGAACTGGCTCGATACTTGCCACTTAGCAAAATAAAAGAGGCAGGTGTTTGTCAGTAATTTTTGGATGCTTTTTCATCAACTTAATTTTCTTCAGGGAACATTTTTCTTTTGTTTGTTTTAAAATAAACACAGTGCTTTTTAAACAAAGTAAAGAAAACTTAACATCACACTCCACCCCTCCAGAAATTACATACCTAATGCTGGTTACATTGGGTCTGCACTGTCCATATTTCTTCAGAAGAGTGTTATGTCCACTGATCAGTGGGGGTTGTTAAACTTTTTTTTTTTAAATTACACTATCTACCCTTCAGTAATTTCTATATTTAAATACCTTTCCTCTTGTCATTTTTGGATGCAGTCCATACAAAGTGCCAGTCCTAGCTTCTGCCCCCTCTTTTTCTTTACTGGACTTTCTCCTTGTACTGAACTTTGTGGCTTGTGATCTTCCCCAGGTAGGTAATACTTCAGGTTCCTGGCACTCCTTACTCGGTTGTAATTACCCATTTCTGTACTTTGTATCCAACTAGTTTTCTTAATCTGAGGGAAGCTCATTCTTTTACACCTTCAGTTGCTCATTCTCTTCCTGCTCTTACTGGAATGCAAACATATGTCTATGATCAGAAGTACACAGAGGAACCAGAGCTACTTTGACTAAACACCACACTATCAAGGCAGTACTGCTCTCACCAGCTATTCTCTCCTAAAATAATACCATATATTGGATCACCTACCCTTGCACCTACCCTTGAACTGGGATCTTCAAGCAAAACTCTGAGATACTAGAAACAAACCCGACACAATGGAGTCACACAGGTATGACTGTTACAGAATAAAATAAACAAATTAGGGATCCTGTACACTGGCACTATAGCCACTATAAGAAGGGAACTGTGGAGGGTACATGCAAAACACTGTGCTCTGCCAGAGCCACTACCCAAACTCCAAACTCCACCTCTTCAGCTCTAGCCAGTGGCTTAAGACACAATTACAAGATACGATGACAGATTTGAAAAAAATTACTGAATCCTTCAAAATAATTGATTTATTACACAGAAAAAAGTTAAATTCAGGAAAAAAAAGTATGCAATAGATCCAAAACAATTTCTGAGACAAAATGCACCTACCAAATCTCAAGACAGTATAAAATTTGAGAAATTATGTTGTGTACCAACTCTAACACATGGATAAAACTTATAAAGCCACAACTGGAACCAAGAGAATCTGTCTCCAAACTTAATAGAAAGCTTTTGTTGTTGCTGTGATTATCAGAGGAAAATACAACCTCAGAAACAGACAGCTCTGGAACCTGAACTCCTGTATAAGGCTCCATTAGGTTTTATGCTCATTTCTTCATGGTCATATACACTCAGATCCCTAATGATACTTATTTTAATAGTTTATTAATAATTTAACTTACTAAATGAAATATGTTTGTGGCTTTGAAGATTTGAACATCAAAAATCTCTTATTCTTTAAATAATATAATTAATCTCCTTCACACCTCACTACATATTTACATAAATGTGTACATATGTGAACATATATGCACACACATCCCCTTATTTTGTATTAATTGAATAAAAGCCCCCATGTTGCTGCTGCAATGGCAAAGAAGAGAAAGAGGAAACAGACAGGCATTCATATTGGATGCCATTTAAAAAAAAGAGGGGAAAATAAAGCAAAAAAAAGACAGTCACATTCCAACTGAATGCCCCTTTTAAATCTCTAATTCAACCCGAAGTACTGCTATTTAGAACTGGCTTCACAAAAATGCTATTCAATTTTTTGTCTAGAAGTCCACAATGAGTCTGAGTAACTTAACATCCTGTTTTATATATATGTATGCACAGACACAGACTCTTTACCAGGTGTCAACAGCATTTTAACAGGTATTACAACACTGCTTGAAGAGCACGCTCAATACCTCAGCAAATGACATATAAAAACCTCATATGTGTAATATTCCACCAAACAAGACAACTGCTTACAATTTTGATGTTACAGTGATCCAACTGGTTAAAGAAAAAACACAGTTAATGTTTCAGTTAATGACAGCCAATTTTCTTCAAGCTGTTTTTAGTCAGTGACAGTAAAAAACCAACAATATTATATTTTATAGAATAAAGAAAACCAAAACCAAAATAGAGGAAAAGTTTCTGAAGTTTCATCTAGGGCAACTAGCTAGGAGATGGTTTTGATTTCTTTTTTGTTGGTATGGTTCCCACTAAAAACAAGTGAGCCTAATAAATTGCAGAAAATACTAATTTTGTGATATAAGAATTTGATTTAAAAATATTTGTTAGGTTTTTTGTAAAAAGGCTTTCAGAGGCACAGTTAATACATACCTGTTCATTTTATGAAGTGCACAGAGTTCATGGCAAGAAATAATCTTCTGTAGGCAGTAAGATTGGTACAAATCAAATATGTTCAAAATCAAACCACTCCAGGTTGTTCCTTTTCCTCTCTCTAAAATGCCACTGCATAGCACAGCTGTTACAAACATGATATTCAAATCCAAGTATTCCACAAACACCTATTTGTCTCCTATTTTTTGCTGGTATAAACACACATAATATGGTTTTGAACCCTCTGCTAAAACTGTACTCCTAAAAAAACCAACAAAACATCATCTTTTCTTAAAAGACTTAAATCTTGGTCTTTTATCCAGTATTAAGTGCAGTGTAGTTGTTACATCATTATTACAATCATGACTATCCTCAAACCTCATGGTAAGTTTTACATTAAGTTTTATAACAGATGCTTTTACACATGAAAAACATCTCAGCTAAATAGACAAGGAGACAGTTCTGACTATTTTCCAATCAGTCTGTTATTCCCCTCTTTCCCCATACTTTTAAAACAATGTAATTAAAAGTTTTCTGGCATTCCAAGAGGAAAAGGTTTAGAACTGCTTAAAGCCACTTTCTGATTTCTTCATGGCAGTTGTCTCAAGCTGAATATTTAGTCAAGCCACTTGCTAACTACAGCAATGTTGGACAACAAAAATTAAGGTATTAGAATAATAAAATAAGGGTAATTAAAAACAACAGGACTTAATTCTGTTGAGTCACCTTTGGCAACACAATAGCATTAAACAGAGAACTGTCTATCACAACTTCTCTCCCTTAAGCTATCTCATGCAAACATCAATTGCTTTGAACTTGCTTCCACATCCCAATTATTTAACTCCTCTATGATACTTATATTGGCTCTGCCAGGATTTGATATCAAGCTGACTTCACAGACCTGAAGCTGAATTTTTCTTAGGACAATCTATGCACAAAGAAACATGAAGGAGAAGAAATGCTTCTCTTCTCCATTTGCAGAACAAAAAGGTTTCCTCCCTCACATTTCTATCACCATTTCTCAAAGTTGAGAAAGTTAGGATAATCCTTTACAATAATCTCCAAATCTAAAGAAATGTAGATGATCACTTCGCTGTCACATGTCATCCTCCATCTATAAGAGGTCTGGTCTTAAATCCCAGCCCTCTGTATGGAAAGAGCATAAAGGCACAAACAAACAAAAAAATCTAAGCCCAAGAGTATTAAAAACCCCACAGGCACAGATCACCCAAGTATTTTAACCATTTATCAAAAATGGTACTACAAGAGGGCCATTTGAAAGAAAGCAAACACTAAAGGATTTCATCAGGGAGTTTTAAACATTTTTTTGTCCTACTGAATTTTAATAACAAAAACTTACCTTCTTTCTGCCTATACTGTAATGTGAATTTGCATCTTGATTTTGTAAACCAGGGTTGAAACATAGTTGCATGTATTACTAACAAATGATATTTACGTTTTTTTGTCTAAAACTAGGGGGTTTATCTTCATAATATTATGAGTAAAGCTCACAAATATGCCACATGATGTTGCTGTTAAAATGAAATTTGAGTTCCTGAAAGAAGCTAACACTATAGTAAAAAATCAGTTGTGCTCCTCTTCGTTTACAAAGTGCTAAGAATACTCAAAATTCTTGAGGATGGATTTCTGTCCATCACAAGAAGACAAACAAGGAGGGGGGGATGAATCAAAAAAGAATATATATCTTGCTAGAATTTGTCCTATGGCTAACCTTTAAGAGGAGGTCATGGTTCTGTCCTGCACCACACAAGCAAACATAAAAAGCCCCAAAATAACAGACGATTCAGCTTGTGGGTCATCAGGAGAATACAAATACATAGCAAAAGTTTGTGAAAGCAGATTTCTTGAATCGAATTCTGGCCTCAACACTTTTCCATCAAAGTGATACAGGCCATCCTCTATGCAAATTCAAGGCCTGTTCAAAAGCTGAGCAACCTACATCATGTTAACTCGGCATCCTACATCTTACACACAGAAAACAGTAATTTTGTAAACTTAAAAAGCTACACTCGTATCACTCAAAAGTAAAGCTAAGGGTATACGATTACATACAGACACACAGGATTTTACAGGGCTAAGTTACAGCGCAACAACTGACTAGAAAGCCTATTAGTAGTCATGCCAATTATGCCGTGATTTTACAAACTTCTTTTGATCTCAACATTTTTAAAACAAAGATGACAACCAGTAACGTTTGTTTTACCTATTCAGAGTCCAGCATGTGTTCTTTCAACAAAAAAATTCTTTCAAATAGTTGATAACACTGTCAAAAGTGACAAGCTGGTCCTGATCATACGAAACAGCTTTGTGTCATGGGACTTTTTGTCTTTTTTTTTTTTTAAATAAATTTTTTCCTTAAACAAGGTTCACCATACTAAACACATGTCAAAAGAGACATCATAGCTTTACAATGCAAGTATGTTGCACACCTTTTGGTATCAGACTTAAAAGACCACAAAGTAAACGTACCTGTGTTCTGTGAGAACATTTACTGCTGATGGATGGTTGGCACAGTATGTAAGGTATAAGCTTTTCATTTGAGGCATCAAATTTAGAAAACATCCTCCAACCCTCTGCTGAGCTTCAGGCAACCTAAAAACAGAGTAATGAATATGAAAACACTGTAATACCAACCAGACACAGAAATAAATTTAAAGACTAGAAAAGCAGTGTATATTGTGTGCTGGTTTTGGCTGCAGTAGAGTTAATTTTCTTCACAGTGGCTGGTATGGGGCTGTGTTTTGGATTTGTGTTAAACACAGGGTTGCTAATATCGAGATAGTTCTGCTATTGCTGAGCAGGGCTTACACAGAACCAAGGCCTCTTCTGATTTTTGTACTGCCATGCCAGCGAGAAGGCAGGGGGGGAAAAGGGAAGTTGGAAGGAGAGATGGCCAGTACAGCTGACCCCAACTGACCAAAGAGATATTCCATACCATAGGACATCTTGCTCTGCATAACACTGGGGGAAGAAGAAAGAAGGGGGGATGTTTGGATTGATGGTGTTTGTCTTCCCAAGTAACTGTTGCATGTGAGGGGGCCTTGCTTTCCCAAAGATGGCTGAACACTTGCCTGTCCATGGGAAGTGGCAAATTAATTCCTTGTTTTGCTCTGCTTGTGTGAGAAGCTTTTGCTTTTCCTATTAAACTGTCTTTATCTCAACCCACGAGTTTTCTAGCTTTCACCTCGTTCCCACTGTGGGGGAGCGAGCGAGCGGCTGCATGAGGCTTGGCAGCTGGCTGGGGTAGAACCAGGACACACTGTCTGTTTGGTTTCGTTTTGTGATTTTTGTTTTGTTGTTATTTTTGTTTGGGGGTTTTTTATAAAAATGACAGATAGATTTCTATGGTTACCGACCAGCATCCAACAGTTTTCTTCTCCTTCTGCTTATGCCACCATAGTATAGGCAGAATATAATACATACCTGTAGAACTGTCATTCAGCAAAATATTTTCAAAAATTAATGGTAAATTAGGACCTTCTTTAAGGAGTTAATTTTCAGTGAATATACCCATCTGTTAGAACAGTTTATGATCCACTTATATATGCCATGACAAATCTTAAAAGCACTATTTCAGCAATTAAGACAAAAACTGGATGGAGTAGCAACAGGATTCTCTTCCTTTACCTTACACAAGCAGAGATGATAGGATTTAAATATTCATTAAAAGATCCAAGTACCTTCTTAAGCTCTAATAACACAAATAGAAGCCAGTTACAGTGCAGTAACAGGCTGTTTTTACACAATTGTCACTCATCTTCCTTTTTAAGGACCATAAAGCAGTTTTATGTTGGGTTGTAACCAGGGCAAGAATGCTGCTTTACCACCATCAGTGCAGAAATACTTTCTATATCTTTCATGTTCAGATACACCACATTTGCTAAACAGTGAAGGAAAATTTCACAATTCTGTTCAGAAAAGCTTATTTTGTCTAGCATAAAATGGTGCTTAAATAATAGCAGCCTCAGTGACTTCAAAAAAAGATGACTCGGCAAGAGAAACATACTTAGAAGAAAAGCTTACTTTCACACACTCTTGATAAACCTAATCAGTTTTGATCAGGTTTGCCAGAGAAATATACACATATTCATATAAGTCAAGAAGGACAGGATATGAAGGAAGACAGTATGAATATACACAATGTAATTTTTATACGTTTTTAGCAGAAACTGTTATTGCACATTGCAGCAAGAAAATATCTGGAGTACAAATATCTGAAATTGGCTGCATGACTCCAGCTTTGAACTGGTACAATGAGCAGAGAGTACAAGTCTGACTTCTGATTTCTGCATCAATATAAGCAGGGTGGGGGTGAAAGAAAGAGTGCAGCCCTTCCAGTCTTATTCCTATTAACTCCTTAAGCTGTATAGGTGAGATACAAAAAAGCACACTCATACTTTTTTAAAATCTCAAATAATTTCCAAGTTATACACCAACTAATGGAAAAAAGCATATACTCTAACCAGCCATGCATCCTAACTGTTACTATGCCCCCATTCTCAGAACCACACAGAAATACCCATACTGGGCTGCTTCCTATGCGAGAACAAATAAATTGGACAACAAAAGAGCAATATTGTAAGGGTGTCAGAAGGGATGAAACTCTTCAACAGAGCAACTCCCACTTGAAGGACTAAGCCTCTTCAGCTGTAGGTTGTAGGGTATGGCTAATAATAATAATAATAATAATGGCCAGTCTTCGCGAACGAAGATTGGGGGAAAGGTCTTTTACCTTTCCAGCCTGCGCAATGGATTTTTTAGGTGAGACACAGCATGCGCTGAACTGAGCCCACCCTTTAATCCTAAGGTTCATCTGCCGGGGCCAAGCAAGCTTGGACAATGGCAGTGAGGTCCTCAGGACGTAGGTTTGTTTAGAGTGACCTTCTCATAGATGGATGGCCTCACAGGGCTAACGGGCTCCATCTGCTCGGGGGACTGGGATTCGAACCTGGGTCGCAGAGGTGAGAGTCCCACATGCTAACCACTAGGCCACCAGGGGTCCCCGGTACGGCTAATAGCCAATTGTATAACCCACACTGAAGCTAAACAGAAGATGGGACACTAAACTTTCATCAGTCTTTGACTACAAACTTGTTCCTGACACCTTGGCTAAACCCACCGTACAACATGTGCAAGACAAAATGTTTCAATTTCTCCACACACTTGCTCTCCTTGCATAATGACTGCATTTCCTAACATAAGTATGCAGTCTTTGCTTCTTTGCAAGATGAGACAGTGGATTTTGTTGTTGTTGTTCTCGTTATCTATTTTACTACTCTTAAACTCAGTATTTCACTCTGCTATAAAGCTAAATGAGTCCTCAGTAAGTACTCAATAGATAAAGTGTTCGTACAGTCAAAGGGCTCCATGCAAAGATCAGTTCCAACAATTCTCTCTTGAAGAATATTGTTTTTCTGAAAAAAAAATAATTTTAAAAGTCAAGATTTTCTGTAGTTGTCCTGAACATGTACATAAAGTTCCTAGATATCAATATTCAGTATATTCCCTCTGGAAAAAAGTGAGAGATGCTCCAGTGAACCTCAGCAAAAGAGAAAACATTCAGCTTTCCAGGACAACCACTCCTCCAGGCAGGGGATATTCCCATCCCGCTCAGAGTCATCTTGTCCCACTCCTTAGGTTTGCTCATAGTAATCAAAATTCAGAGTTCATGCCAAGAAATACTCCTCCAAATTTCAAAACACTAAGTCTGTCTCCTACTAAGCTGTTCAGTCCCTCTACAGAGCGTGGGAAGACCTACCCCAAATGAAGTCAAAATTGACTGCAGAGATGTTCAAAATGTGAGGCAGGGGAAACAGGCTTCCTGATTTGAAGGCGATGTTCATTATACACACCTAGAAAACAACAGCTGAATCCCCAGCACACACATCATGCCAGACACACTCCGATCATGTTATCAGCACTCCCTATATTAAAGGCTAGGGTTCATATTTTACTGTCTGCATCTTTATTTCTCTTGAAAAAAAAAAAAAAAAAAGAAGTTTAAATTCTGAAATAAATGCTGCTAAGCAGCATTGACTGAGAGTCTGGTTTTGCAGGTTTTTAGGGGAAAATGAGGGGCATTCCCCAGCATACTGAGGGAATGCTGTTCTTACAGCCTGCCTAGCAGCATTTCCTGCCTAGCAGCTGGTCCCCTTTAAATAAATCTAAGCATGAGCTAATAATACATTCTTCGAGTAATAGATGCAGCCAAAGTCACAAACTCTGAAGACATACTCAAGGCATATAACTCAGTATTAAATAGCAGGAGGCTCCAATATACAGTTGCTAAAAATGGTTTAATTCCCATTTCATACTGTAGTGATGTGGGTGGAGGGTGAATTATGGCTGTTTGCACCAAGCAGACATCTGTGTCTTCTCTGTCTGCTTTCTTTTAGGAGAATCAAAGACTGACATTCTCTTTCATGTGTTGCACATGCATTGCCACTTTATACTGCACATTCTTTGTTGAATTAAGCTAATTAAAAGACTTTATAAGTGGGTGGCAACTTATCCCCTTTAACTTTTCTAATCCATGCACTAGTTGCAGGTGTTCTATGATTTTCAGTAGATAAGTTATCTATACCTCCTTTAACTGCTGAAGAACCAACAACTTAATGTGTATCACCACATCATATAAACCCTTTGGTAATTAATGTGTTCAATAAAAAGCATAGTTATTTCACAATTCATTCTGAAGTTGTCATCCAATATTCTTCTCATATTTGGTACTTTAATTAAAAAGGAATCACATAAATATTTATACATATATATAAATTATAACAACTTCAGTTCTAAAAAGCCAAAGGCATCTTTTAATTCTATTTACAGATGTAAGAGAACCACAACAAAGGCTCTGCTGTTGTAGACATGCTAGAGGAATCATCATATGACTATATCTAAACTACCTGACATTATCTGCTTGTTGGAGTTATATCCAATGGCTATCACTTCTGTTTCTCCAGACTTAAAATGGGTTCCCACTGCCTGGTAATTTAAGGAAAGAAATAAAAAAGTAAGTGTGATTGAACAACAAGGTTAGTTTTAAGACAGATCAAAACCAGCAATCAGAACTGAACTAAAGCTGGACTGACAGCTGACAGAAAAAAGGTGACAATACAGAATATCTAATCTTCTCCACCTCCTCTCACAAAGATAAACAGCAGAATTTACTGACACTCTCTCAGCCTCTTGAAGGAGCTGGAGCATCAATAGTAAGTTTGCCATGCTTGCAGGAGGTCAGTACAGAAAATGCCTGTACTGCTCAAAAGCTAATAGCAGAGAAAACCCATGAGAAGTGAAGGTCTGTAAAAATTATTACAGGGTAATTGTGATTATTGACTCCAAGGGGTGCAGTTTGTGAAGAAACATAAGATTGGATGTCATCTCCGGAGGCTTCACAGTTAACAAGGTTACTGAAATAAGGGGCCACTTCTCAACTTTCTGAGCTACTGTGTGCACAAAACGAGGTAGTATTCAACTCATTTACAACACTTCAGTCTAATTTTCAATGCTCTCTTCAAAACCACACCTTTCACTAATTGTCTCTTTGCCTTACATATCAGACATCAGTTACTACGCATGTTTGTTTCAGGATATCTAAACTTGTTAGTGTTCAAATTTACTTAATATTGATAATCTTGTTTCTATTGATACCCATGATAACCAAAAGTAAAGGATGATACTTGGATAAACCCTTAACAGACTTAATTTGTGTCTGCACTCCAAAACTAAACCTGAAACACTAATTAGTTTTGGATTACATTTAAATAGTCTCCCTCTCACACCCTGGTTTCTCCCTTTTTTTTTTTTAAATTCCATTCCACTTCAGGAATAGAAGTATCTGCTTGCACTTAAACACAGAACACAATGACAGTTATTGTGACTGCAAGAGAAGGGGCATGAGGAAGAGGGGACAACAATCGAGCTATGGTTGCTACAGGGTAAGGGGATAAGTCTGTGATACTACCTAAAAGACTTCAATTTCCTACAGAGAAGATTATACCTAAGCAGTTCATGCAGGCTGGTGTCACACCACTCAGGCCTGTGTGTCATGTGCCTGTCCTTACTGAGAAGTACAGCCATAGACTGACAGCTTCTGTTCCCAGGTAAATGGAAGAATTTTTTTGTGGAGCAGGGGTTCAAATCAGGTTCCATCTCCAGCTACAAAAATACTCATAGAGCAATACTTCCAGTGTGATCATTTCGGCCCGAGATTACAAAGGTAGAAATAACCACTCAATTTGGACAAGTTCAAGGAGGACAAACCTTTAGCAACGAACCAGAAAAGCTTCAAGGCTTTGAGCAGAGTGGGAGGATGGCACACAACTAAAACCAACCCAAAATTCAAACAACTGTTTCCCCTAAAGCACACAAAGTATCCACTACAGCATGTTATATTCCAAAAAAAACCCCACAACCAATGTTTAACAACAGGAGGATTAAATAAGCCAAAGTGGTGCAGGTAAGAAGAAGTATGGTACAGGAAAGTTTCTGATGCTGAAGTACACGCCAGGATTTGTTAAGAAGAAAACTCAAGTGAAAAACTGTCTCAAGGTGGGTGTGGAATTTAAAATTCAACTCATGCCCAAGAACATAAATTTTTTTGAGCAACATAGGCTGGTAGCTCTACAACAGGCAAGACATTGGCATTTGTTCATTCTGACATGTCAAGTTAGAAAAAACACCACACTGGATGTTGCAATGTGAAGTGCCTCACTGATGTGACTTCTCTGCCAAAAATAAAATTATAAATCTATTTTCAGCCCTGGAGCTAGTGTGGGTTTACAGAACAGGTTCACCAGCCAAAAAAAATGGCAAAATGACAAAGAGAAAAAAGGTAGCAGAGCAAGCATTCTTCTACAGGATGGGAATCATGATGGACTAGATTCCAAACACGAGGACACTATGATGAAAATTAAACTGAAAATACAACTTGTCATGACGAGCATATTTATGGAATGACAGTAACACAAAATATTTGCAGTAACCCTTCAGTAACTCCAGGGCATCACTTCCTGTGCCCACCTACTAGCATCCAGTATGTACCTAGTTTATTACACAGCAACATTTCACTTAGCAGAAAGAACAAATAAAGGACATCATGCATTAATATTTAAGGCATATGATCTCCTACTCTTGTTTTTAAAACCACCTTAACAAAATGTTTCAAAAGATGACAGTTTGTTCCATGCAAGGTACTTTATTTCCCTAACTTCTGATTCACAGAAACAAAATCACTGTAACAAAAGAATGAGAAAACAAAGCACAATGACAAGAAAAGAAAGGAAACATTTGAGTTTGATGACAAATGGTTGGTCACTTTCAGGGATTTAGACACTTTACTGATGAAGTCTGGAATGAACATCCTTCTTTCTCACATGCAGCATGAAAGAAAGACCATTTCAAGAATATTTCCATTACACTGCTGAACAGTCATCTGAACTACACCATCCTCCCTTCCCTTCTCTCTGATCTAAGTTGTATAGAGGCAAGAGAGAAGGGCAGAAGAAGGTGGTAGGAGAGAAGTCAGCAACGGTCCCAGGCATATGGTACTGCCTAGTGGAGATGTAGCTTATACTTCATCATGACAAAGCTGCTTCTTCACATAGAGCAGCTCAGAAGTGAGGAAGGAGAGGTCAAAACAAGACACACTGAAGGTGACTAAAGATCACTTGCCAAAAGAGGTATTTTCTCCTGCATCCAAGACATTCATTCATTCAGCAGACTGAAACTTGTCTAAGCCCTCAAATTCAAGCAATTCAAATTACTAATTTGGCAGAAATCAAGAAAATTTGAAGTAGGAATGTGACCATGTGGTAGGACAAAATCAGAATATAGGCAAGGAAAATGACAGAACTGAGGTTAGGAACAGAAATTTTACTTTCAATGGAGTTTTAACACTAGAAAGTTGTTAGGACAATGCAAATGTGATATGGTCACCTTCTTTCTAGCATCCCCAAGTGCTGAGGTAACAAGCTGAAAAATACCAAGTTACCAATTCAGCCTCAACTACAGAAGGAGGAGAAGTGTCTTCATCCCCTTCTTTCTGTGCTTCACGCTTCCTATAGCAGCACAAGCATTGAGGGGTTTTATTTAATTCAGGTTGTTCTTTCTGCCTATCCTGGCCACCTCTCCCAGCACCTTTTCATGACTACCATTGTTCAGGCCAGAAGAACAGTAAGCACAAGCATTCTCAGAACGCGCTTCATCCAAGTCGCTTATCTCCTTCTCCACTGTTCCACCATTACATAAGGTCTGTTCATTCTTTCTCTTACTTTTAAGAAAGTACTTAAAATTCATGCCCCCAAAACAAAACCCACCATTTCCCTACTGGTATGCAATTGCATCATGGAAATTTGTAAATTGCCGTTAAACTAAATCAAAATTTCTACCTCTGCAATTGCATCCTAGGGCCAATATCTATCTGTACAAGCAATCAATACATTCTCCAAACATCTATTACTGTACTGCTGTGGCAACAATTCTTACAGTGAGAAGAAAAAAAAATTATGCCCAACAACATTAGCAACGAGTAATAAAAAAATATTTGCATGTTAGAATTTTACTGTATCTCATATGCATAGTACTTACTTGGTGCATTCTTCTAAAGACTGTACAAGCATTTGCTGGAAAGAACTTATTTCTTCCAGGTTTCCCATTAAGTATGAAGTATTTGCCAAGGTTAACCTGGAGCCAAAGTAAATAAAACATGCTTAGGTTTTCAGTTATTGACTAACTGTGCATTAATACAATCTACAGTGTTAAAAGAAAGTGCTTACTGGTTCTTAGATCAAGGACCTGACTGTTTCAGTCAGCAAGCAAACTGAATAAAAGCAAGCCCTGCCTCAAGAATCTCATAGTCCACAGAGGAAAATACACATTGACATTGAAATTTTGACCACGTTAACCCTCCCCAATACATGAGAGATCTCAAACAATTCAAAACACAGAACAAACTCACATACTTTTCACTGGCTTGTAATGGTCGCAGGTAGTTTGAAAGCATTGTTTGTAGCTCCTTAGCATATTCATTTTCTGTTTCTAATATATTTTGTAGCACCTACAATAAATGACAATTGCTAATTGGTATTTTTTAAGACCAGTTTTAAAGCATACTAAAATTTACCTAGCATAAGAAAAACTTAAATGAGTGTTCCTACATTAAAAATGCAAGTATCAGCAAGAAAGCATTGAATACTACACATCTATGAAATTCACAGGGAAAAAAATCCACTATACACATGATGAGCCATCCTTCAGCCATATACAAAACCAGTAGTAAGCTAGCAGGAATTTCACTACTTAAAAACTTTAGTGCAAAATCTGAATGTTATAGAGTGCTCTTCCAAACCCAGGGTCAATTATTCCTCCTATGTTCTTCAGAACAGTCACAGATCATCAGAGGCTGGTAAAGCACAATAGAAGTTGCAAGAGAAAAGAACAAATAATGTTATTTTCTCAGTCTCAATTACAACACATTACAACTAATCTTGCTAGCAAAGTGTTTACTCATTCAGATGCGTTGTTCTACCTAGAACATCTGAATATTAATGGATTTACAAATAACAAGTAGTTTCCAACTTCATTTAGCAAAATGTTTAGCGTTATTACATTATTTTTAAATGGGACTGCCCAACCTTCCACTGGGAATACACTACCATGAGAAAACTACAACAGATTCTGATGCAAAGCCAAGGATTTATAAAATACAGCACACACTTGGTTTTTGGCTGAATATAAACCAACAACTGGAATACTCCCAAATATGCACAGGAAAACATTTTACTGGGTCATTTCCAGGGAATCTGCTTTACGATATCCTCTAATATAGTCACATCAGGTTCTACTGTGCTTCTAGTTGCCAAATTATTTTTTTCTCCAAAAAGTTAATGGTTTAGCAAGACAATCAACAGAATTAAATGTAGTTCAGTGAACAGAACTGAACTTTGAAAACTTATTGCTATTCACTGGTCATAAGCCACACCACAAACCTTCTCATTTTGCTACATGCCATATTTGTCAAGCCTACAGTAACATCTCATTTCAGCATTTATAAGAACGACTGTAATTGAGTGCATTATTCACTGTTGTAGTCAATACTCTTTCTTAGGAAGTAAAAAAAGCCATTCATTCCTAAATGCAAACCTGATGAAATAACTTTAAATAGATCAGTATGTCAATGAAGAATTCACTGCTCCTTTCATTGGTGTCATTGATTCTGCTTATTCCTTGAATGCTTCTATTCATTTGGAGGGAGAGAGAGACCATTTGAGTTCATTCTTTTGTTGCAAAACTGAATCCTGAACTGAAGATTAAAATGTCTCCATTCTCTGCTAAACACTGTGGCAGAAGAATGTCACAGGGAAAGTTATAGCTACTAAGAAATTACAGCATACAGTACAACACGGACACATAAACTGTAAAAAAGCTAAGGGGTTTTTTTACCATTTAGACCATGGAAATAAAATATTTCCACCAATCATAGTACTAACTAACCCCCATATTCTCTTATACATATATAAAACAAAGAAAGCAAATTGTTAAAATGGTAATATAAAAGTACTTAGCATCTGTGAGGTTCAAAACTAAATGCAAGACCAATCTTTTTCAATACAGCTTTTTCTACAAAAACCTCCCAGCCCAAAGTTCTTACACAGCCATTAGCAGGGAAAAGGAGACTGAAAACCAAGGACACAGTGTCCCAATGAAGCACTGAACAGTATTAAAAGACATTCAAAGATAAAAATCAACAAATTTGCTAGAGATCTTGAAAGGCTGCACCACTGGTCCATTTTCTCAAAGACTATTTTCATTCTCTGCTATAAACAGCTGTCTGAAAAGCTTGAAATAAAACTAGTTTTATGTTGGACACACTCATTTTCCTGTGCTAGTTTGGATTTTTATTTGAGGATTTTCTTTGCAATACAGAGAACACGGGATTGGAGGAAAAAGACTTAAGCGAGGCAGGGAGGTAATAAAGAGAAAGCTTAAAAACTAGAATTAGCATTCTGACAATTAGTGGAAAAAGGAAAATAAATGCAACTGTAAATAAAACTATGCTACAAAACCTATGCAGAGTACCAGATGCACTTACACTTTATGTTATTCTAGTAGTTCACACTATTACACACTACTTCAGATATACATAGCTTTAAACACTTCCCAGGACACATTAAAACTATTTCAGTTTTTTTTAACAAGTACAATTTCCACTGCATACATTTTTTACTTTGAATATATTTTTTAAAGAATAACTTTGCTTACACAGTTCTAAAACATTATTTCTGTGAAATCTCACATTCTTCCAGCTTGACTTACCTACCTCACTGAGAAGCTATGAGGATTAAATGCTTGGACTGTGCTTTGAAGTGACAAGTAGCCAGCATTGTAATTCAGTATTTTGGCACCAGAGAACCCTTACAATTCCTCATATCCACATCTCACCCGCATGATCTAATAATCACCTTTCTTCCCTTTCCTGCTTTCTGTGCATTCTGGCTGCTGCAAGACCCCATGAGACCTTGAAGACTTTGTTTCCACAACTCCACCACATTTGCACACATAAGACCGAGTACCAAAAGAGCAGCATTGAAGTGGCAGCTTTTGCAGTCCCTAACACTGATGAATGGCAGGCACAGACAACTGAGCTCATACAGCACCAGCTCTCTCAATCACACAGCATGGAAAATTCAAGCATGGTTAACAATTCTGTCACACAAAACCTCAGTCATCTCCCTAAGGCAATAACTATCACCGAAAAATGGATTTAAAATGACCTACATGAAGCCGATCACCTTCCAAATCAGAGGGAAAAAAGGCAGAATACAGACACACTTGGGCACGATCCGTTAGCACATTTCCATTTTTTCATAGTAGTATGGCACTCAACCAAAATATCTCATGCTTCGGCAAAATGGTGATCAGTATCTGATTTTCCTGAATCAGAATTTGTGAGATGAATCCCTTAAAACAGGCCCTTGAGAGGGGCAGTGTAAAGCACTGCACAAGTATACCATACCTCAAGGGTCCTCAAAAACTCTCATAAAATTCAGAAGACACAAACTCTTGATCCAACTTTAAACACTTCTTTTGGGGCCGTTCTGTTATTTTCCATTACTTTTCAAACACTTAAATGAAAAATGAAGTCGTCCAAATACTCATAACTATGGAGAAATTTGCCCATTTCTTTACCTGCTTTTAGAAAAGCTACTTAATCTCAAGGCAACTGTGAGTGGAGATAACCTAGCTTTATTTTGGACACTAAGTTATAAATTCTCAAGGGATCTCAAGTAAAAATAAAACTCAGAGTAACACCTGCTCCGTTTTCAGAGAGTACCATGCAACAAAATGCCCACTTACTCAATAGTTACTAAATTACTTCTACATGAAAAATGCTTGATGCTTGATCATGAGTCTGGTTCATATTGCACACTGCTGTAGACTTGTACCATTTTATGGAGGACAAGACCTCGGCATTCTCTACTAACCTGCATTCCTCAGCCAGGCAAAATGTACATGTGTAACAAACGTCTGTCTTCTCAGCAACACTTACTGCAAGGTGCAGCTAATTAAGCACACTGAGACTAGAAAGTATGTGGTTTGTATTACGAACTTCAGACAGAGCTCTGTGAATCCATAAAGAACATATTTACAAGGGTGAGAAGAACAAAGGAAAGTGGTGAAAGCAGTTCCTCTCTTGACATTAAGCACCTTTCCCTTAGCCTATCCCAGTCCTCCTCCCAGAAAGGAAGCCTCTCCTACCGCCTTCTGGACTTCCTCTGATCTGCTCTTTGATTTTGTCCTCAGTCCAACAAATGTACCCACAGGTGCTGCTTGCACAAAACCTTCCTCAAGAAAAACAGCAATAATCAATCAAGAGGGTTTACAGAGTCTCAGCACATCCCCATATGGTGGGAGATGGCCACAACTCAAAAATAGCAAGCAGTCCCAGAGTACCAGCCTCAATAAATGTTTGGTTGTCAAGAGAGCCTTTAACACAGACTTTAACGCTTACTTTAACTCGAGCTACATCCTTTCAGCTACCAGTTACCAAAGGTTCATTTGGAGCTGTTCTGCTTTTACTTTAAGTTTGTTATCAGTACACACTGATAAGACTTCTAGAACAGAGAAGTCCCATGTCTGCAGCTTACATATGAAGATAGAATAAAAACTCAACTCACAAGTTAAACTACTTTCAATTCAGAGAATGTGTTTGCTGTTTGTCTTCACTACATTTAAAATCATACATATTTAATAATTATGAAAAATTATTATTTTATAGGTATATCAGCATCTGTATTGGGTTTCTGTGGCTAGGTTTTGGTATTGGGGGGGGCACTACAGGGGTGGCTTCTGTTAGCAGCTGCTAGAAGCTTCCCCTGTCTGGTGGAGTCAATGCCAGCCAGCTCCAGGATGGGCTTCCTGCTGCTGGCCAAGGCTGAGCCAATTAGGAATGATAGTAAAACCTCCATGATAATATATTTAAGAATGGAAAGTTATTGCACAGTTGAAAAATTCCAGCCAGTGAAGAGCAGAGTGAGAACATGGGAACAACAACGTAGACACCAAGGTCAGTGCAGAAGGATGGGAAGGAGGTTCTCCAGGAGCTGGAGCTGAAGCCCCTGCAGCTTGTGGTGCAGACCATGGTGGAGCAGCTGTGCCCCTGCAGCCCACAGAGGAGCCCATGCTGGAGCAGGTGGATATCCGAAGGAGGTTGTGACCCTGTGGGAGGCCCGAGATAGAGCAGGGTCCTGCCAGGGACCTGCAACCCATGGAGAAACGAGTCCACGCTGGAGAAGGTTTTCCTGGTAGGACTTGTGGCCCTGTGTGGGACCCACACAGGGGGGTACAGCTGGTACAGCTCATTCCTGAAGGACTGCACCCCACGGAGAAGTGACCCACGGGGCAGCAGTTTCGTGAAGAACTGCCTGTGGGATGGACTCACGCTGCAGAGGTTCGTGAAGGACTGTCTCCTGTGGGAGGGACCCCACGGGAGCAGGGGAAGGACTCCTCTCCCTCAGCAGCGGCAGAAACAACAACTGACCGTAACCCCCATTCCCCATCCCCCTGCACTGCTGGGGGGGAGGAGGGAGAACACAGAAGGACAGAGGGGTGGGTGAGATTATTTTACTTCTCACTCTTTTTTGCTCTGATCCTGTTAGTAATAAATTTAAGTAATATCCCCACTTTGAGTCTGTTTTGCCCATGATGGTGATCAGAAGGTGATCTCTCCCAGCTCTTGACTCATGAATCCCTTGTTTTTTGTTTTTTTTTTTTTTTTTTTTTCCTCTCTTCTGTCCAGTTGCAGAGAGGATGGAGAGAGTGGCTTTAGTGGGTACCTGGCATCTAGCCAGGGCCAATCCACTACACCATCAGAAGCACTTCATATTTTTCAAGAAAATCTAAATGTCAATATGTCTAATTTAAGTTTTAGACACAGCAGTGAAGTCTTGCTTTCTCTGAAACAAAGTGCATGCTATAAGCACAGCCTCTCATTTTTTAAACAAAAACAATAAAATGGCAAGTTAAAAAAAAAACTGAGGGTATTTGTCACAGTGTGAAAAAATGTGAAAACAAGCAATTACCCGGTTCACAGTAGACAGATTTGAGAACAGCACTCTAGGGTCAGTGCTCTAATTTACAAAATATATATTAAAAACTCAATATAAATGCAGATTAAACATAAGTAAGAGCAGTCTTCTACCTAGTGAAGGAACTAAATCTTCTCCTGTACTGCAGTCACTTCATCTTCCTTGCATTGAAAATCATAGGTTTCAACATCAAACAACAAACACATTTTCTACTAAACACTACAACAACTTTGGGAAAAAAAATGACTAAAAAGAGAGATATTGAAAACAAAAATAAAAAGGAAAATAATCCAATACTTTGTCACTGAATATACCACAGTAAGGTTTTTACTTCCTGCAGAAGGAAGGGTGTGCCTGCACAGGTACTTTCCATTCTGACTAGCAGGTGTGGGTACAATAGCCAAAGAATTACAGCCCTCCCTTTTCCATGGAGTTGCAGCTACCAACAGAGGCAGGAGGCAAGCCCAGAGGGAGGAGCAGGAGGCTGCCTCACTGTTTTCAGTGAGGATACTATACATAAAACACCTCTGTTCTTCCAGGTGGTTGGTGTTACTCATGCCACAACCACACAAGATGAAAGCATAAAACAATTCATTATGATCGTTGCTAAAAACTGACAAATAAAATGAAAACAATGGCAGCTGCTTCAAAGAAAAGGGAAAGAAACGTTGTGGTTTGGTTTTACACCAGCAGGGAGCAGTGCTTAACAAAATCAATAACATGCTTTTTTGCTTCCCAATGTATCTGCTTTTAATAAATACATGATTCTCAAAATGGTTACAACACACTTAAAGTCAGAGTTGGGTATGTTTCTTACATGCATCTACTAAAGAGGTCTGAGTACCAGGTTATGAATTCCTGGGGATGTGTTAAAGGTCGACTCTGGCTGTACCGCTTTGCTATGAAATCTATCCACCAGTATAAGGGAGAAGTTCCTAAAGTTAATAATAGAGTTGATTTATAAGCATGAATGCAAAGGAAGCAAATTGAACATTTTGAAACAATCTCTTATTCAACAAAAAGGACAACAGTATTCTTAAGCATTTTAACACAGTAGAATTTCAGTAATTCACAGAGATTGGGGAACACTGATTGCGTATTTGGGAGATGGGGAGAACAGGGAAATTAACAACTAGCAAAGTAAGTAAAATTAGTGTAATATTACATAAATGCCTATTACTCACTTGCTTTAGACTATAATTTTGCATCACGCTTAAGAACCTGTGTGATATTCTACTAAACTAATGATGAACTTGTTTACATGAGAATCCACTAACAACCCTATCTAGTTTTGGCACTTTCTGACAAGACTGCCTTTTTTCTGTGCAGATAAGAGCATTTAGTTAAATGACATTCTACTGTATATAACAGCTCCCATGGAGGAAAAATGATCACTCACCACATTGTAATAGCTTTTGTTAATTGCAGAAGTATCAAAGCCTTTAGGTGGACTCTTCAATGTACCTGATTTGGGGGAAACCGGTTTTTCTGAAATGTAAAATATTTTGGGGTCAGTAGGGTGCAATTTCATAGCTCAACACTAGAGGTCAAACAAACTGCTTTAAAATATTAACCATACAATACAGTGAAAATAGTGCTTCAGTGAGAAACATACATAATTGCACTTCAAATTATTGGTAAAGAATCAAAATGTTTCATAAGTTCACTATGAATGAAACTTTAGCCTCATTGAAGGCAAGTAGAAAAGCTCCCATTCTTTTTCCTAGAATCAGAAAGTCAGTTAAGCTTTTCAAAAATTATTTTTTAAAAATGTCACAGATTGCAATTAAATAAATAAATAAATAAAAAACCAACAGGCATTTCCAAACTCTATAGGCACTTTCAAACAAAAGTAGTTTTAACATCATTTTAATGAACTCAGTGAAAGCAAGTGACCAATCAAAGGCTGAACATACCAGAAGTGAGACATTACATTCACTCTGATAGAAACAAGAGATTCAAAACACTACACTAGTGAAGTGACTTACCTGATGTCTATCCAAGAAAATCATCTTTTAAAACAAATTGTCTTTTGCTATTAATGAAGTAAAAAATAAAAATGCTTATGTACTTGAGAACACAGTTCTTCATAACATCTTCATAACATAAATCCTTCCTATAATCCCATAGGGAATCCATCCCTCACTAATGCATACTCTTCCTAGAAGGACAAGATTGGTCTACAAGATCAAAACAACAGTGCTAAGAGTTACCCAAGTGCTGACTCCCAGAATAGAGAGGCACAGAAAACACACCCCTAAAGCCTCCCCTCCCACCACTACCACTCCTCTAGGTCAATCACAAAGGAGCAAAGAAGAGGTGAGAGAAAAATCAAAAGCATGATGCTGCATGATCATTTGACTCTGCACTCAACCAACTTGGGAGATCATATTTATCAGGACATTACGGTGCTTCAGTTTGTTTGCTTTGTGGGTTTTGGATTTTTTTGTTTGTTTTTATTAATTATCAGGCTTGTCTAATATGCCATTTTCAAACATACATTTGAGTAATTTGTATCGAAACTATAAAATGGCAAATTGTCAACCAATCCTTCCCCCACCCCCCACACCAGACCAAAAAACCATTATCAAAACATACCTACTGGATGTTTTACCTTTATTTTAAAAGCAAGCTCCTGTTTCAAACACATTTTGATAAAGATATATTAATAATTTAACTCTAGTTTACCTAATACCTCAGGCTGAGAATAAATTATGCAAGTCTCAAATACAGACCTGCCTTTCCAGAAGCCCAGTCAACCATTCTAAGGGCTCCCTATGGAAAATTCCCATGGAAAGTAAAGTTGATCAGGGAACTGCCATCATAAGCAGAATAGTCCATATGGCACCAGCCTCTCCTGAGAAATTTAGTGCTTCTTCAGGCCACACAGCTGCAACCCCATGGACCAATGCCATCTCAGGTGAGCTGACTGAAGATGAAGGCCATCCTTTCAACTCCAATGCCAGGAGTGCCAGGTAGGCCAGCAGGACCTGAGGCTTTAGCTAATGGTCCATAAGGCACAGCTCACACTGCATGAGCACACAGGTGCTAATATCTTTAAGGGGCTTTTCTCTGTATTGCACTGGAAGTCTAAAAAAAGCTAATCTAAAAATAAAACACTGTCTAAAAACTGCCACACAAAGGCAAAAACAATTTTTCCTTACCACATTCAGAGATGACAATAAAATCCTTTTGGTTAATATCCCCCACCTACCCACCCCAAGTCAGATCTAAGCCAATAGAGAGCACAAAAACTATTAGACCAAGCAGTTATCCAGCTGGGAACACTGATGCTCTCAGCCACCAGCCCTGCAGCACATACATGCTCTGCTACAAAGCCAAGTAATTCCAAGTGACAGGACTCCTCCCATCCCCTTAGAAAAAAACCATAAACTCAAGCAGATTTGCCATCAAACACTCAGTGTGAAAGAAGAACCTAAAATCACGTTGTATGTATGGCTACTCATTTATATATTCATCTATCATGCTACTCCTTATGGGACAATTACAATTCATTTCTTTGTACTGAATGATGACAATTATGTCATTTAAACGAATTTGGTTCTTTGCCTTCATGCTTTGTGGAAGCTCTTGACTTATCCTCCAATTTACAGAGACTTTCAGGTTCACTAAATACGTAAAGTTTTATTAATCATGTGCCAAAAAGCATGAAAGGAGAAACCAGAGTTATTTAGGCATAACAGTAAGTACTTGTCACTGAATTTATAATAATACAGAAGTCTGGAAAGAAGAAACAAGAGTTATTTAAGGATAAAGGTAAATACTTGTCACTGAATTTATCATTATACAGATGTCCAGCCATTGTTAATCTGGAGAAAGTTGGCTGGTCATAGAATTTTGGCTCTTTGTTATCTTAAAGGGTACAAAAATACATTTCTCCTTTTAAGCTGCTGAACAAAGTGGGAGATTTTTTTGCTGACATGTACAGTCATTTATATTACCAGTGTTCAGCTGATTCAATTATCCAGGAGAGAGACATATGTCCAAATTCAGATTTAAAAACAGGACAGAAAAAAAAAAATCACATTCAAATAATTTTGCCTGAACAGCCATTATCAACATTTAGTTTTTAAAATGTAAAGGCCATTTCTATTGTAGAAACACAGAATTAGATGCAGCAAATTAATCCAGCTGTCTGTCACGTCTGGTATTCTGCCTTCAAGCAGTGCATTGCTTCATAAGGAGGAATAAGAGACAGGCTTGTTGCAATTAGTTTATTGCACAATGAATTACACAGAAGAAAATCCTGATCTTGCACATAAGAAATCACTTTCTTTGTTTATGCTAAATTCAGTGTTATTTATTATTCTTGTAACAGAACATTAAGAGTACCTTTGCAAACAGAGCATATTTCATTAAACATTTCAAGGAGGTGTCACCCCCATTCAGCATACTGGAAATATATACACATCTTACAGGTCCATATGTCTATAAAGTCCATAGGTTTCTGAAACATTAGCAAAACCCTGGCACCTTGCCAACTCCAACACAGAGATTCTGTTTCTCAAAGCACTGGAAGAGAGTGACCTGAGCCAGACACCAAGGTTTCCCCATACAGATTTTTCCTTTCTCCTCACTTTTCTCCTAGTCACAATGTGAATCCATTACATTAACACTGGAAGTATAATGAGAACAGGCACAGCGTATGATCAGATACAAAGTAAACAAGCATCTCAATTACTGGAAGAGACCATATCCAGTTGATGACTGAAACCAGGAGGTAAGTTACCACTATCACTTTCTTTTGTGATCAAAGCATTACATTCAACTGCCCTCAGCTACACTTGATAATGCTTTGAAGTGTCTAGTGGCTAGTGATAAACCAGATAGAATTCACTTAACAGATCATCTTTGAGTGGAGAACAAGGGTGGCACAGGCTTTTTAACATTATTCTTCCAGCAAATTCATTATCTTCAGTAGGACCAAAAAAACTTGAAGCACCTTTAAAAACAACTCGAATGCTTTTATAACCTTTCCCTAAGTAGTACATAAGATGCGATGTACTCTCTAAAATGTTCTTATCCTTTACAAACATCTACTAATTGACTGCAAAGAGACAATTTACCCGATCCTTCCCAATGTTTTGTTTCATTCTATTTTTATTTACATGCAAGTATTTCTTTCACTTGCCTTCAATTTACTTGACATTCTCACATTCTCTCCCTTCTGTCACGTCTCCAGCTTATGTCATATTCATTTTCATGCAATGCTCTACTTCATGCTACTCCTCAAAGTATTCACTGCCTTCAGAACATACTTTACTAAAGCACTTCCATGCTACTACTGCAAGAACAGCACCATGTGTTTCTGCGATCACTAGGCTATGGTGCATAATGCAGATAAAAAGATCCGATTTGGGCTATTTCATCCTACATTAGGGAAGGAAAGATGTGCCAATTGGAACAACAAAAGCTACGTGGTCTCTATTAGTGAAGTGCTACAAGCAAACCCTGTCTTTCTAGACTAATTGGTTCATGTCCAACACCAGGAGGGCAGACCTCAACTTGTTCTCAGTTCTCAAGCTGGCTCAAGCATTGCTGCAAAGTGGTCCACTTTGCAATATGGACACTACTTCTTCCCCAAGAGTATTCACTGGTCCCAACCTCTTTCTATTTATGCCTGTAGAATAATACTTGACAAGAGAACAAAATACCCCTCCAAGTGTACATGGCTGAGGAGAAAAAAACTAATATTCCTTGGGGGGATTATTTGTTTTTTCCTTCCATTTTTTTCTTTTCCTCAGAGCTAAAAGTGCATCTGTCCTTCCCTTATGAACCACAGGATGGAAACAGCTGATGTTCTACACTTCCACTATATTCTGACCTTTTCCCAACACTGATTTTTTTATTTTTTTTAACATCCAACCAGAAGAACCACTGACATTGTAGTTTGCACCAGTGCCGATACTAATATAACTGTCAAGAAAGCGTAACAGAAGAGAGGCTAGGATAGTAATGACACATTAATTTCTGTGAAGAATTAGGATAAAGTTTGTGACATATCAAATGTAATTTTTACAAAGCTATATCCCCTTCTGCATAATCTCATACCATTTAAAGGGATTATGCTTGGATAAAATTCAGCAAGTGACCATGCGATTTTTTTAAAAATCTGATTAACATCTGACAGTAGCTAAGCAAGCGCATCCCATTCTGCAAGGGAATGCTTAAAACTAGGTCTCCAAATCTCTCTACTGGGCAAGACAGAAACAGTAATGTAAGAGACAAGGCTCCACCTACACCTCCACCCATTCCTGCTCCACTTTAAGAAAAAAAACCTCAGTAAGGCCACACTGTCAAGTACCTAACAAGTTTACATAGTATTTACCTTTTACCCTCTGTCATGTGTAACAGTACAGCAGGATGCTGTCCCCTCATTTCAAAGTACTTCCTGATTAGTGATCAGAGAACATTAAAAAAGGTAAGATGTTACAGGGTTTGAAAATGGAAATGAAAACGTGCACAAAGGGGGGAGGGAGAGAGAAATGGACCATTGTTTTGAAAGGCACATACCTGAATAGAAACTTTTTTTTCTCTTTATATGTTTGATCATAGCTATCATAGTTTCGGATAAATTCTCCTTTTCCCCGTGGGTGAGGGAGGCACACTCAAAAGCAAAATAAAACCAGTTTTCCATCTCAACCAAATATATTTTCCCCAAAATAGTCACTGACTATTCACAGCCTAAGGAAACTAAATGTTGTGCTTTGCTCCATAATCTCAGTATCTGTCCTACAACCATTCACAGCTCATCTCATGCATGTATTAGCATTCTGTGCTAATACTGATCATTCCGGCATAGCTAAACAAGCAAGGTACAAGGTGGGCATAACTTTGCAAGGTTTTAGCTATTCTGAGATACCTTACCATGTAACATGCTCTGCTTGTGCAATAAATGTAATGCAGTTTACTTTTCTTCTAAAAGTTTTAAGAAATCAATGTGGGTAAAGTTCCCATTACTGTGCAGCTGTTTCTTCCTTTCCTTGAATATCTAACTTCAAAGACGCCCTACAGAAATATACAGTTTTCTGATTAAAGGATTTTAACGTAGAACAAAAATCCATTTATCTAAACATCTAATGCCTATGAAGTTTGTGAGAATCAAAATAAAAACACACGAGTAAAGAACTTCTTTCGTTTCTTCTGTTACCTAGTTTGCAGAAGTCAGGTTACAGCAAACTGAGGGGATTTATTTAGTCAAACTCACCACATCCTGGGAGCATTCCAAACAATGTATCATCAAAAATGAAAGCAGTGTAACCTGTACAGCATTTCTAACTAGCTGCAGTATTTTAAGCCACATTTCAGAGAAAACAACTTGGGAGAAAATTTTTCTGAGGGCCAGAAGTGAATGTTAGAAGTTAAAGACTAGAGGCAACTCATCTCAGCCCCAGGGATCAGACAGGGTAGCAAGGACTTGCAAGAATCAAACTGTACTTGGTACTAACCTTGGCACTACAGCTTGTTGTCTCTTCTGACTTCAAGATGTACCTCACCTAAGTGCAGTATTCTTAATAAAACAAGAACCACTTTAATTTCAGTTACTGGAAACTTCTGTTTCTTACATGTTCATTGTTAGAAGCTATTTCTATTCTGGAGCCTAACTGCCCACCCAGGTTCCAGTTTCAAGTGTTGGAAGAGCTCAAAACTGATGAAATCCAAACAAGACCTCTGCCACACTGATTTAATTGAGTAACGATGGGACAAGAGGGTCATCATGACTGATGCTACAACACTACAGACAAAAAACAAGCTTCATGAATTGTTTGTCAATCAGATGCATCTGATTAATCTCTGAAGAACATTAAAGCTAAGTCTTATATTGTGACTAGGAGAATTGTCTAAGAGAATCTAGTTGAAAAGGACAATGAAGTTGCAGATCTGAGACCAGCATTTTGCAACAACGGACTGTACACAGTAAATCAAGGAAGAAAATAAGAGGATGCAACCAGAGGAGAAAAGTAAGTTTAAAAATGGAGTTTCACCCTTACAACCTCACTTTGCAATCAGGCATCTGTATGGCTGGCTAAAAAAAAAGAAAAAAGCCATGCCAATGACTTTAGCATGGCCTCAAAAGATGTGCATTTTCACTGGAGCTGTGACATTGGAAAGAGTAATAAAGCCTCCCAGAGTCCCTGGGTAGTTTTATCATACCAGGTTTATCCCTAATCTCTGAAAGTAAGCTGAGACAGGAAAGACATGGAAAAAAAAAAAAAAAGGAAATAAAGGAGACAGTAACATTAGTTCTGATATTCAGATGACATTTACAGAAGGCACTTTCACTGTATAAAGGTTAAAACAAAACTTCAGTGGAAGGATGAAGCCTCTATGAAGAAAAGCTGAAGGCACATGAACATGAAAGAAGAAGAAAAATCACAAATACATTATCTTTCAAAAGTGGATTTTGGTAGATCTGGGTTTCCTTTCTGCAATTATTTGCTTCTAAGTAATGGGATGTGTTGAATAATTTTTTTGCTGTAGTTTTTTTGGTTGGTTTGGGGTTTCTTTCTGGTATGTTTTTTTGTTGTGTTGTTTTTAAAGAGATCTGTAGGAAATCTCTCACTATTTAAACACAAAGCACCAATTCAAAATATGTCAGCACCTGAGTCAAAATCCCATATTCTAGGAATTCAGACCAAGGAACTCAGAGCAGCCCAACTATGACAGAGATAGACAGGCAAACAAAATGGGGAGTTTTCTGCATGCTTACTGATAACTCAGAAGCCTCAGAGCACTCTATATAGTGAACTGGGGTGTTGAAGTATGAGCTCCTGAGGATTAATGATCGCTGTGAATGAAGTTCAGTAAATACTGTCAAGCTTAAACAAAAAACATTATCATTTTTAATGAATCAACCAACTATCAACCTCTACCCAAAGCAAGAATTTCTGCAAATATGCTCTCCCCTTCAAAACTCACCATTTGATTTTATTTCTCGTACATAGTTACTTGGAAACCACCCTGTTTTTCCATTTAAAGTTCCTTCCCACCAGCCTCCTTCTTCCACTCTTGTAACATGAATAATATCTCCTTTTGAAAAAGAAAGTTCATCTTCATTTGTCTGTTGAAAATTAAATTTTGCTCTCACCACCAACTGATGGTTGCCGTTATCTGTCATGTCCTAGTAAGTGAGAAAACAAAGGACAAAATGATCACATTAGAGATTTAAACAGTATTCCATGAAGAAAATAGAAAATGGAAATAGCCTCTCCTCCACACACAATATTCACCACACATTTTTACTGAAAAGCTTTTATAAGGACTGATTTGGCATTTCTAGTATGTCTTTAATTTTTAATCTATGAATTCTCATCAGTCCAGGGAGTATATTGTCTTATTAGAGTCCTTTCAAATCAGAAGGGGTTAACAGAGCTAAAATGAGAGTAATAAAGAAAATAAAACGAGAACAATAAAGAAAACACATATTTTCTATAAATAGCATAAGTTGCCTTTGGCATCTACAAAGAACCAAGAGCTTTACATGGAAGAGTCTTTTTCCAAAAGACTGGGCTGGAAGGAGAAAATGAGTTGGGTTTAATTTAGGTTTGGATATAAATAGTTTTCATCTTAAAACCTTCTTTTTTTTCTCCTGTAACAGATCGGGTTGGAAGGTTCCACAGCTGAATGTAAAAGTCTCCATGGTCTGACAATGGAGAAGGACAGTGTTCTTTCACAAAACCTACAAACAATTATGCAACTTACCTCAAATAAGTACTCACAAATCATTTCTCTCATGGTTAGTAAAGCTGGAAGTCTGCAGCATGTCAGACTTGCAGCTGTCCATATAATGATATTTATGCATGCTCATCCCCTATCACAGATGTGAAGACAGATTATTGCTCTGTCATAACAACTAAATGTTAATAGATACTTCTAAGAAGTCTTTCAAATTAATGACATTCAAATTTACCATTTTGTTCATGGATGTCAATTTCAAATATCAGCACCATTCAAGCATTTTGTGAGAGTCAGGGAAAACCTTAATACTAGAAAAGCTAAATAGTTGGACAGCTTTAAATACATTGCACTGGAATTAAGAGAACAGGACTACAAATCATGTCTGTTTATAACTAAGGATTACCTGTGTAACTAAAAAAGAAACTTAGCGAGAAGATGACTGTGTAAGCAATCCTAGTCATCTATCCAGGTAGAAGATTTTCACCTACGTGCTGTCTATGTAGTTGAGATGATCAAAAGATGTACTGCATGTTGTCACTTGAATCTTGTAACACAGCAGCTTAATTCATACCCACAGCAATCTTGTTACTGTATCACAACTCAATTTAACCATTAGACTCAGAAGCTGAGAAACTATAGGAAAATGAGGGCAAACCACTTCAAAAACATGCAGAAAGCCCCAAGATACTGTAAGTCACAGTGTTTGACAATAAAATTGGCACATTTTCGAACAGGTACCTCTGCCTTAGTCCTCTGCTGGTACATCATGTGCTTTCATCCACTTTGACTGCTCAACAAGAGAAAATGTTTTGGCTTAGTAAACAGTAAAAAGCCACAAAACAAGCAGCAACACTGCACAGTGAGATCAACTACAGTCCCTCTGCTCTGTCAGAATGGCTTTCCAGTACAGGAAACTGAGTACAAATTCGGTGAGAACAGTTCCAAACTGATCATCTACAGCAACAAAACCAAACTAAGAATCTCCTGGGTTTGGCTACTAGCTCTCTTTCCCTCCTTCTTACACTTCTCAGCTCTTTCTAACTTTGTGCAGAGCAACTCAGATCAACAAAGTGATAGAAATACTTAAAACTCTGATCACTTCAGTGATCCAGCTAACAGCTAGTCCCACAAACAGCTGCACCAGCAAAACTGAGTGGGTTGTGAACAGCAGAACAGGAGCTGGAACTGGTGGCCTAAGGCAAAAACTTGCACAGAGAAAACAAACTGCACCTAAGAAAGCTTAAGTAGAGCATGGCGTTTCAAGTTTCACATAGTAATCATCACACCATTCAAGACAACCTCTTTCAAGCACAGAAAAAGCAGGTTTCAGTAGGGATCTGAATCCTTGCAAACCTTCAGTCACTAAAAGCACCTTTTATCACAATTTAGTTTCTATGAGGTACTCAACCCTGATTTCAGCTGTACTACAAAACAACTGTCCACACCAGTTACCTGAAGGCCAGTTGAAGGATTAACCTCAAAACATAACAGACAACAGGAATAACTACCACTACTGCCAACATTAAAAGTACCACCTTTGCTGAAGTTTGAATATCCTTCAATATCACTCCTAAACTCAGAGAGAGAGAAAATGAGATTCTTGCCTTTGGAAAAAGAAAGACACAAATCCATTAAGACATGTATGCATGTCTGTGTATGCAGACAACATGCAGTGCTAAATAAAGAAAAAAATCATTAGAAGTTCACAGAAAGCTGCATGCAGTTTGGAACATCATAAGAAAAGCTGCAAAAACATGATGTCACAGGCTAGAAATACAGTGGTGAAAGAGAGGAAACAGTTACTCTGCTACACTATCGGTTACTTATAAAACTTGGCAAAAGGAAAAAAAAAAAAAAAATCACACTGCAGCATGTCTCGTTTTACCAGAACTTACCAAACTCCGATACTGTCCCTGAAAGAGTTTTGAAGTTCTACTGTGTAAAGACTGGGATCCCAGAGAATCAAAAGATTTTATCCGATGAGATGAGGGACGTGCACACACAGAGTCACTGCCCAGTCCTATGTCTGTAGAAGGGTGGAAAAAAAGGTAAACATCAGAATTTGAAAAAATCTGCATTTAACTTCTGCTTACCTCTGTAAAATTCACATGCTTAAACCAGATTTGATACATCTGCAGTTGCTCAGTAATTCAGGATTCAAAAAATTATAGCAATAAATAATCTAAAATCCTGAGACATTGTCGATTTCTTCCCCATACAGACAGGAAAACAACTTGGGCTGTTTAGAAAGAGGAGGGTTAGGGTTCTATTTCTCTATTCCTACTCACTACCAGTCTATTTAGAGGTAATTAACCAGCATCATTTTAGCTGGTGGCCAAGAACTTTGAATGCATAAAACTTGCTTGAAGTGAAGCCAGCCACATCTGGTTCTTAGCTCTTCCCGCAGCACCACACCCCGTGCCTTCACCATCTCCATCTCAATTAAAACATTCCTTCCACTGTTTTTTTCCTTAAATTTCTTTGTCTCATCTCTCTTTTTGCCAACTAAGCTATTTTTTCTTCTTTGGAGGGAGGAATAGGAATAGAAAGGAGAAAAACTGCTTGCTCAAATAAACAAACACCCTCCTTAAACCTCTCCCCTCTTTCATTTATCTCTACTCTGAGAAGCACACCCACATGATATGTTCCTCTGAAGGGCAGTGTTATGTGCCATCAAGGAGCTGCTGGGCTCCCTTGTGGGCTGGGGGCATCAAGGGAGCAGCAGGGCAGGGCTCATCCCACCATCCTAGCCAGGAATGGGAGGCATCGGGGCAGCCCCAGCCCTGGACGCTGGGTTGGCACCTCCCTAGGATGGCAATGTTGCCCACCCACAGGTCCTCATTTGGATTACCAAGCCACAGTTAGACAGGGGCTGCACCAAAAGCAGCTCATAAGGGCCAGGGTCAGTGTCAGTGCTGGCTGCGGCCTCCCACAGCCCTGCTGGGAGCCTCTCCCCATGTTTTGGAGGGACAGGGGTTGCTCCTGGCTGTACCACTGTCCCCAGTTCTCACAGCCAAACTCCCAGGGCACTTGCACAGGACAGCAGACAAACATTGCTCCTCCACACAAGTATGGCAAGTCATTCCTTTTCCTCACATTCTCCCACGTACAAGTAAATTACTCAGCGAGCATCTGAGCTTCAAGAAGCCCTGAAAGCAATGCAGTATTTTCAGTCCCGAACCTGGATGTTTTCACTAGACTACACAAGCCTCCCAAATGCTCTCCTGGTTTTTATGCCTCTGTTACTCTCTTTCCTAGTAGTTTATTCTTCTTCCAACACTTGACCTCTGACACACAACTATAGTCTCCTAATAATTACTTTCAGACTAAAGTAGACCACGATTATGCAAATCCAGGTTATTTTTTGTCCAAGGGAAATAACACAAAGGCTCAGATCCATGAGGAGACTGGTGAATAAGGCATTTCTGCTGTTCTACATCAAACCTGAAGGGACAACTTGATTCATCTTAACTGGAAAGCCTTTAAACTTCAGCACAGCATCCAACAGCAGCTGAGATGCAGGAGGAGGGAAAGGGTTTGAGAATGACAACAAACGCAGTAGTGTTGACAAAGGATGCTCCAAGTCTGCAGTGACTGAGCAGAAAACACCTTCTCGGGTGCATTTTTTTAAATGAGTCATTGTTACCATTCAGAAATCACTATCTCCCAAAAAAAACCCTATAAATATACACTCCCTAGTCAAATAGTGCAATATTAGAACTATACATATCAAGTTGCTTATTTTGTATGATTAGTATCCTTACACATTGAAGTAACAAAAGACATCATACTTTGTGAACCTGCTTTCCTAAAAGCATTTAAAGGCCACAGTATTAAGATAAACACTGATGATTATAGTCCATTACGGAAAGGACATACATCTTCATTTTCACAGACCACCAGCAGAGAAACAGGACTAGATCATGGGCTTAATTTGTAAATCATAACTATATGGATAATTCTAATGCTCCCAGAAACTTTAAACTTGCCATAACCACCATTATCTAATAGAACTTAAGGATTAAAAGTAACCTGATACCTCTCCACGTCCAGTTTGCTGTTTCCTAACTGCAGCCAAGTAGAAGAACAGACAAACCCAGCATTATACCTCAACACAGTTCACCTCAAAAAACAGGATCAGGTTGGCTTATGACAGTATGTTCTGGATTCTGGGCAGCCCTAAAACACACTACATTGCATTTGTTTAAGTGTGGCCTGATTCCTGAAATTTTCTATTTCCCAACAGTAGAGCTAACACACCAACACAAGAGCACCTTTTAAGGCTTGAATTAGGAACTGCATATGGTGAAAACAAAGAAAATTATTACAGACAAACCACACGGAAATTGAAAGTATTTTTACCAATAATATCTGAATACTTTCAAATCAATCTGAACTTCTGACAGATTTAAAAGGCTTGCAGATCCCACGTACCCATTAAAGTTTCTCTTAAAATCCTAACAAACACATTCAATGAATTTCTCAACAGAATTATTGTCAGAGAAAGAAATCAACTCTGCTCCTAAAACAACCAAGAATCTGGAATGGCAGCAGAATGCATGTGTGACGAATATTGATTTGGTAATTTCCTCAAAAGCTGTACTCTTCCATCCCTATAAAGATTTCCAGGGTTTGCAAAACCCTTTCTCCCTCTTACCATTATCTCAACTTCCCTATATCAGTTCCTCTCCCCTCATTTGTCTACAAACAGCAATTGGTTCCTCGATTCCACCCCTCCTAAGACTAAAAATTTGATGGAGTGAACATCCACAGCAGCCTTCCACCAGTAATCATGCTCATTACTCACATTCCTTGTATTGCAGGAAGGCCCATCTCAGAAGAACCTCTGTATGCCTGAAATTCTTGCAGACCCGCACAGGGATCTGAAAGCCATCTTCCAATACTAGAGCAGGGAGATAGAGTCTAAAACGTATTCTACACAATCACCTAGGTAATGAAAATTGTTTGGAAGAACAGCTGAACAGGAAGACTTATGCTCACTCCTAGGAATGAGACACCACCATAGTCTGCATGTGGTTTTGATTTTTGGTTTCCATACCACCCCCTGTCCCCCCATGAAAGGGATCACCCGAGTCCTTTCTAAGCCAGATGCAACCATAGCTTTTTGCTGTGGGCATTAATCTATTGAAGCCTGGAGAAAATAGATGCACTTTTTCTCCATTTCAAAGACAGCAAAGACAGCTACAGTGTACAGCAGTTTTAAAGATGTACTACACTGGTTTGCATTTGCACTTACACCGCAGATGAGAGGCAGTATCTCCAACTGACCTAAGTAGCTTAAAAGAAGTCAATGGTTATTACTCCATGCCCATTCATTAAATCTAAGAATCCGCTTGCAAAACTCAATCTTAAGGGGTGCTTTCTAATGCAAGGGAAAGAAAAAGCCACCAAAACCCAAAATCTATGTTGAAATAGATGAGAGAAATATTATAAAAGTGACAAGATACTTATCACACTAGCATTAAATGAAGTAACACTGAACCGCCACTGACTTTTCTATCACTTTTCTTCCTCACATAAAAACTGACAAGTATGGTTCATTTTTAAATCTCTCTCACCTGATTCTGACCTGATGATCACTACTGAAACTTGCTGCTGACGGTGGAGCAGCAAGAAGCCAAAAGGGTCACCAACGTTAACATTTCTTGATTGTCCTTGGGTCCAGTTGGCATCATTTAGCACAGCCTCACCCTACAAGGATGGATGGACACCTCTCACCGGTGTGTTATTTCTACAGCTCTCTCCCCTCCCACCAAAGAACTTGAGGCCAATGGTTCATGACTTCTAGCTGCTACTTAAATGAAACGTGGCTTAAGGGACCAAAGACATTGGCTATTCTTTTGTTACTGGCAAGAAAGGGTAGTGCTGGGGAATAGAGAGTGAGGAGGGTAAAAAATTCTGACAAAACTGTTCAAATATGAGAATGACAACAGAGTAAAAGTTATCTTTAGTATTTCAAACTGGGATGAAAAAACAGAAAAACAACCAAAAAACAGGCCCTTTTTCTAAGATTGCTTGCCAGCTTAAAGGCTTAGTTCAGCTCTACCACAAAGCTTCCGTCTGCAGAAGACACCACTGGGGAACCCAAAGAGACCACTGCCAAAGTGTTAAAAACAGGAACTCCAACAAAAACTCTTTTAAAATGCTGCACATGCTCATTTCATCATGGGTACAGAAACAAGTATAAATATACACTGATGCACGTTGACATTAATTGTAAGTCAACAACAAGACAGAGCAGTCTACTTACCTGCAGTCACCTTATTTAAAGCCACAAGAGAGCTGAGAACTTTGCTGAAATTCTGTCCCTGATACAGGTCATTTGCATCAAAAGTCTAAAAACAAACAAAAAAAAAAGCAATAAGTCATAGAAATAAGCCTTTAAACTAAGCATTTCTATACTATCATGCAAACTATGAATGCAGAAGCTATTTCACGATCAAGGTATCAGTCTTTTAGTGACTGTTATGGACCAGCAAAACTGTGGAGGGATTTTTTCCCATAAAGAAAAACAAAACAAACAAAACCCAAAAAACCAACCAAACAAAAAAAACCAAACCTAAAAGAAAAACCAAACCAAGTTATTTTTAAATAGAAGGATAATATAGCAACAGCTGAACTTAAAAAAAAGTTAAGAACATATGAAGTAAAAATATCAACATTCATTTAAGCTACAAGAAAGTTGAACAAGACAATTATCAGAAGATAGAAGCTTTCCTCAGACATTTTGGCCAAAAAAGTTATTGGGTACCACTACTCTTGGCATACTCTTCTTCTTCTGAAGCAGTGCACAGACGTTGTACCTGATTATTCACAAAGTAATTTTAAAATTACTACAAATACTTTAAGAAGTACTACAACGTACATGCTATCTCTTTACAAGAAAGATAAAAATGGCATTCCTGAACATTAATGAATTTTAAGACAAATGAAGTTTCTGGATAGGTTAGATGGAGAATGAGGTTTGGGAAGCAGAGGGATGAAAGGTGAGCTTTATTTTAAATTTTTTAACTGTGGGAAAGAGATCCAAACCTCAAACTATCTCGTAGAAAACGCTCTAGTAACTTTCAAGCACTGGGTGATGACACTAAACATCTGGATTTTGGGAGGAAAAGAGAAGATTAAAAAAAAAAAAAAGAAAAAAAGAGACCCATAATATTTGCCTGAGGTAATGGAAACACTCATCCAAAGTCTCATGAAAATAGCTCTTACAATAGATTCTGCAAGGGTTGGAAGGAGTCACAGTACTTCTTTGTGCAAGACTAGAAAGCTGACAATAAAAGGCAGCTACTACAGTTCTTCCAATTGATTTAAGAAACAGAAAGAGATTTAGTTTTCTGCAGCATAGAGCTTTTTATCTAAAAAGTCAACAAAAACACGTTCATTTTCCTGATAACAAACCCATTCCCCAGGCACTATCAGGAAGTCCATATCCCAGAAAGCAGGAGAAGAAAAACCCCTATTCCCAAGGGAAAAGCAAAAAAGAAACAAAGGGAGGCTAGTTGAATCCAAGAGAAGGGAAAATTTTAACACAATCTACCTAAATAATCACAGAAGGGGCTGCCAGACCAGTTGTGACTGGTTATGTAATATCCCAAGAAAGGTAGAACAGATTTAGGAAACATTTAATGACAGTATTACTTAGTAAGCAAAAACTCCTCCTAGTGCATCCACAGTATTTGAGGTACTCGAATAGGTTATCGTGCACATTTTTTCCCCGCTCAGACTGAGGATCATCTCTGGTCCGAGGTGCAGCAGTTCTACCTGGGCTGTACAGGTACCGACATCTCTTAAGCTCAAGTAGTGTGTGCAGAGCTCAGAAGAACAATGCCACAGAACAGACACAGAATTAAGCAGAGGTGCACACTAGTTTACTCCAAGCAGTTATCGCTCACATAAAATAAGTCAAGTAATTATTTCAACAGGTTTCACTGGGCTACAGATAATTTAAGTGACTACTCTTAGTTAGTTGAAGCTATAAGGAGTAAGAGAGGGACCGGGGAATTGCCTAGGTATGAATTTGGTAAGTTTTTTTCTGAAACACAAGGAAGTATTAAAAGACTCAATACACAAAAAAGGCATTAAGGAAATAAAAAATAATCTGACTTGACAAAACCAATAAACACATGACAGGTTTTATTAACAGCATAATCTATAAATGCAAAACCAGATTGGAGATTAGCCTAACCACTGTGCAAATTAGGGGAACAAATTAAGCTGTTATGGAACAAAAAAGTCTTAGGAGTGTGAAATTTTCATTCCTTATAGTGGTAGTTTTTACATAAGGAAACTTGAAGTGTGAACAGAATCATGAAAGACTGGCCCTGATACTAAACAAGGAAATACACGAGACAGGTGCTCATGCAGACACCAGAATGGAATCAGAAAGGGACTACAAGGGAGAGAAAGAATGATTAAGGAATGTTTAAGGAAAAGGTTACAAAATACAGCTTAAACTTACAAAAACTTAAAAACAACCCAACCCTAAATCCATTTTAAGCTCACCTTCATTCTGGATTCTGATAGAGCCAAGAGCTCTCCAATATCAGGCTAACTTGAGAACAACAGGATGCGAGGAAGCCTCATTTCCTGCTATACTGAGACTATAGGGGATAGCAAAAGCAATTTGATTGGACCATCCCAACATGTATAGTGCCATAAAAAAGCCTGTATCCAGGACATGCATCCAGTCTGCTACTTCACAGGAAACAACACAATGGGAGGATACGAGAAGCATTTGCTTCCTTGTGATTTTACATGAAGCAATTCTGACAGGAAGCCACACTCAGCAGCTCATGGTCAGTATGTTCAGTAGCAGCAAATGATAAAGGGGGAGGGGGCCATGACACCCTCCAGAGAGATTTTCTCCTAATGTTTAAGAATAAACTAACCTAGAGAGATAAAAAGTGAGGAAAAAAACTTAGGTGCTCTAACATTTTGAGGCTCATTTATTATGAATTCAACTTCTTGATTGTAAAAACCCTACATCCAAAAAACCCAACAAAACAACAACAAAAAATAATTTAAAAAAAAAAACCACAAACCAAACAAACAAAATAAAGGAGGTTTGCTCATTTCACAATATATTTGAAAACTCTGATACAAGTAAGAGCATCAAGGAGCTTCCATGAGATTGCCACAGAAAACAGTTTACTCCAGGTTTTCAAGAGAAGTCTGACTTGTATGCGGCCTGTGATCTTTATTCTGGTATTTATGGACAAGTCAGCTGTAGAAATGACTGTCAAATTTTATCTTGATGTGAAAAAGAATAGCTTCCCTATTCAGAGAGACTGGATGACACATCCCTCCACACAGCACTCCCAATTCTGCAATTGCAAAAATCAAAGCTGAATTTTGAGATTCAAATATCAAGCAAAGTTATTATTTTATATTGCAATATATTACCAAATAATAAGGTCTGCATGCTAAATCATCTTCTATAATACTAACATAACCCACTTTTCTAATCATGTCACACGCACATGAATTCAAACTTGCACATGCTTACAGCTCTTTAAATCTAAAAATGCAAACACTTAGAAAGATATTACCTTAGAAATATTGAGATTTGTCTTTTAAACAATATGCAACAGGCGTATATAGACACTGAACAAGGCTTTATTGGAAGAAATATTTCCCACATGCCCTTACTTTCCAGGCAAACAACATTTATAACTCTGCAGAGACTCTACCTGTGATGAAGTTCACCCTCTTATTGATGCAATCTTTATCTTTGACCAAGACAGTCAGATAAAACATTAGGAAGAATACAAGAACAAAACTGTCAGAAATCACATCAGATGAGGACCCAGCCAAGCCAAGTCTTTTGACCAAACTATTTAACTAACTTCGCTTTTAAATACCACAGAAAGGACCACACACAGATATGCCTTCTATAAGCATTAAGACGAAAGAAGGAGAAAGGGGGTGATGGTGTTCAGAGTGATGGTGTTTGTCTTTCCAAGTCACCACCAGGAGTGATGCAGCCCAGCCTTCCTGAAGATGGCTGGACCTCTGCCTGCTCATGGAAGTGATGGATTAATTCCTTGTTCTGCTTTGCTGGTGTGCACAGGTTTTGCTGTACCCATTAAACTGCCTTTATCTCAACCCACAAGCTTTCTCACTTTTACCCTTCTGATTCTCTCCCCCATCCCACCAGGGAAGAGTGAGCGAGCGGCTGCATGGGGCTGAGCTGCCAGATGGGGTCAAACCACAACAATGTCCCAGACAGATAACTGTATTCTATCAGACCAGATCAAACAGTCTAATAGCAAGAGGTCTTAGGTGACCTATAACACTATGCATACACTCAAGAGTATTCTGCCCCCTTTTGGTCACAGCACACTGACTGCCAAAACCTGCCAATTGCCTGCCCTGACCCACAGATTCTGCCTTTCTTTTCCACACCCCATACTAATTCCAAATACACAGGCCTGGCTTTCTATAATTATGCATGCATTTTTGCCCCTAGGATTTCAACTGCCTACAAACTCAATGGATAGCAATTTTATGACCTTTTCCAGATCATTCATGAAATGTTACATAACATGGTCAAGTATCAACAACAGTAAAACCCCTATAGCAAGGTATACATTGGATCGTCATTCCACAATTGCAATTATATTAATGCCTATTAATAAGCCAGTGTTTAAATTCACTTCATGACAGCCATATTCATTTTTCCATCATTGACAACTGTTAAACACCAAACAAAATACCTTTAAGATTCATTTAATTCACAGACTGGCTGTTCAAATACCAAATCCACCCTCCCATTTTAAACAAGACTAATGCACGGATCTGCTTAAACTCCTTCACATTCAAAATGGCCAGGATAATACATTCAGGTAACTTTAAAGTCATCTAAATCACTAACCCTCAGTAGATAGAGACTTCTGTTCAAACAGTGTTTATGATCTAATACGAATAAGGAAATAAAACTAAAATAACAATGCTCATCCCTCATATCCCTGCAACAACCAATATCTACTGAAAGGTAGAAATATTAACTGAGAAATTCATGAAAGAAAAAGGAAATGAAAAAAAGTTGAAAATATACCTGCTGAGAGCAGACTACAGCATACAGTAAGCCTGCAGCAGGATTCTTTTCTTCAAATCACTCAGTTTTAAGGCCTCGGGTAACCTTTATACTATTTTGTTTCCCCCTTCTAGACCTTAAAGCCAGAAGCCGGTTATGAAGGAAGTATTTTTAAAATAAGGTACTTCACCTGATAAGGCAAGGTCTACAACTGGAGACAGGAAAAAAAGAAATAAAAAAAAAAAAATCAGGGGTAGTTCAGTCAAGCTTCCAGACACACACTTCTTCAATATGTCT